GCAGTCCAACCACGCAAGGTCAGATAAATGACGCGGGCCAATGTTGGTGGAGTGCAGAGAAGACTTTAGTGACGAAGATATCAGGATATAGTCAATCCGAGTGAACACCTTGTGCCTGGCAGAAAAGTAGGAATAATCCCGTTCTTGAGGGTGCTTTGCCCTCCAGGTGTCTGTAAGATGAAAGGAGTCTAGGAGCTTTGCCAGTTTGGTCAGAGAGTGTTGTTGGTATTGTTTCCTGCACAAGCCTCTTTTATTCCTTGTTGGATTGCTTCCCTCAATATTTTTTAAAATTGTTCTATTGATAAGTCTTCAATCAGGGTGTTTTCGTCTATCTCCTCTTCCTCCTCTCCTGCATTTGTCACCATTTTACTTATTCCGTTGCACTTAATCACTAGTAATTCCACTCTAAAAAAGTCTTTGGATTTCTTCTTAAAGTTATTAAATAGCCTCACCCGAGAACATCACAAAAATTCCCCTATAAATAAGAATAAACTTACAGAGACAATTCATCTTCTTCAGAATATTTTTCTGGCCGCTGTATCTCTTCATTCCAAACCATGCAGCTTAGGGTAGTTTCACTTCCACTTTACTTTTCTCTTTGTTTCTGGTCACTCACAATCATTTGTTCTTATATTCCTTCTCCTGTTGCTGTATTCGTTTCAGTCCATTCATTTAAAATGGTTGGCTGCAGCTAACTGGAACATGGCGGCCATGTTCCATCCCGTATGCCACTCCAGCTTCGGGGCGAATAATTGGACACCCCCCCGTCTTGCCAGAACGGAAGGGGCCAAAAACAAAAGCCCCCTCCACCAGCTCTCTCTCCGGGAGACCTGGAGGGGCTCTCTCAGAGACCGAGAAACCCCAATTAGAGCGGCTCGGAATCGGGCGGGTTGGAGCTTGCCGAACGCCGCCCGTCGCTGCGCCATGCCGACCAGAAGTCCTAATCAAGTCTCCCCCTATTATCAAATGGCCTTCGATGACCCTGACACTGGGATAGTTTTGTATAGGTTTAAGTAGGCTGGGCTGGCAAAAATGCGATCTCTAGATATGTCCTCAGTGGGCCAAAAACACTGGAGTACTTAATAACTGTTGCTTTTAAACTTTCAAGCGACTTGCCAATTGCAAGCAATAATACTCAAATGCTGTGAATCTAGTATCTTGTACTGTCCTTCTTTTGTTTGCATTCATGTACTCATTTTGCAGATAGCCATGTGGAGCCACAGTTTTAGTATGTATTAATATTTTGACATCTAACAAGCCACTTAAGTGTTTTGAACATCAGGTTAAATTGAGGCGCACAGTGCCAGTTAGCTGTGCAAGAGGAATCTGTAGTTAGGCTAGTCTGTAAGGTAATGGTTCCCATGCTCAAAAGCCAGTCGAGTCCAACTCTAGGGTTGCGGTGCTCATCTCCGTTTCAAAGCTGAAGAGCCAGCGCTGACCGAAGACGTTTCCGTGCTCATGTGGCCGGCATAACTAAATACCAAGGCACACGGAACGCTGTTCCCTTCCCACCGAAGTGGTACCTATTTATCTACTTGCAATTTCTTGCTTTCGAACTGCTAGGTTGGCAGGAGCTGGAACTAGAGACGGGAGCTCACTCCGTCATGCGGCAACTCGGGTCTTGAACTGCTGAACTACTGACCTTCCACAGCCTGCAGTTCAGCGTCTTAACCACTTGAGCCACCGCAGCTTTACAAAATTGTGAAACGCAAACAAACCTAATGCATAAAAAGACCCACATTCTACAAGTTTTTTTCAGTCTCCAAATAGTGTGTTTCCTAAAACAAGTAAATAAATATCTTTAGCAGAAGTTGGCCAGTTTCTTTGGAATTTTCAGTAATTTTCTAATATTGGAAGTATGCAGCAAAATCAGTATTGTGGCTTATGTTTAAATCGTGTATTATATTTTTAAAAACAAATGGCTTCAAATAAAGCCCTCCGCATACAATAAAAGAGTGCTTAATTTCTAAAATGAGAGGTCCTGAGGCCCAAGCTTATACCATGAATAAAACTTTGTTGGTCTTAAAGGTGCCACTGGACTCAAACTTTTGTTCTGACACGGGAGTACTTTCTGTTAGTATTAAATGTGTTGCTGTATGTTAAAGCTGCCTGCCTGTAAACTCTGTACTTTCACAGTTACTTTGTGGCTGTTAGTTTGTATATTCCAGACCTGAACTTGGCATTAAATATAGGACCTAGGCCTGTAGGTGTGTGTTTTGAACATTGGGCTCCACACCTAGAAGTGTCATGTCACAGCTCAGGCTGTGTGTCTCAGTCCCTTTGTTGCTGTTTATTGTCTCTAGGCAGCCCCAATCCATCTGGATGTCAAGGGAAACAATGTGATCTTATAATATATTGATCTCAAAGGCTTGAAGCCTGTCTGTATCCATGTTTTCTACCTATGAGCTACGTTATCAGGAAAGAGGCAGTCCAGTTGACCATAACGATTTACTTCTAAGTAAATATATGGAGGGTTGGCCTGTTGGTAATAAGAAAAGGATAATTCCTGTGCATTGGATGGAATTTAGAAAGAAAAATAAGTGGCACATCTATGTATATATGGTTCTGGTAGATACCAGATAGAGGTGCTGTATTTATATCTGTATAGAAAATAGAATTCAGAAAAGGGCGAAATGGCACATTCCTTTTTTTAATAAATTGTTTATTTTGAAAATTTTCAGTACATATAACAACATAACAAAACAAGTATATAAACAGAAGGCTAATGCATGAATATATAGTTTTACAATACAAAAGAAGGGGCAAAAGATGTAAAATGAATTTATAAAAGCATGATGTAATTAAAATGCCTTTAACAGAGATTAACAGTTTTAGCTATCTTTGGGATGTACATTGTAGATTTAAAAAGAGCAAAGAGTCAACAGCATAGTATACCAGTTTCAACGTAGTTATGATCATATTAAAGCTATAAAGCGATTAATATGTGGGTTAGAACATCCAGACACACCATAGTCATTCATAAATTCCAGAACTGGCCACCACAGAGGGTGGTGGTTGATAGTTAGGATTATCAATAGAACGTAATTTGTCTGAGATTTTCTCCATTACGAAGAAGTCCCAAATAGCTTTAAACCGTCTAGAGATCGAAGGGAGTTCCTTTTCCTTCCAAAAGGAAGCCAGAGTAAGTTTGGCAGCAGTTAACAATAAAAAAAATTAAAGCTTTGCAGATAGAGGGGATCTGGGGATCTGACCAAAGATTGAGCAAAATGATTTCAGGTTTTAATGGAACTGTGTAACCCGTCGTTTTTTGAATATGTATAAGGATTGTTCTCCAGAAGTTTTTTTATTTTGGGGAACCCCCACCAGCAGTGGTAATAAGATCCTTTAAAGTGGTAATAAGATCCTTTAAAGCTTCCAACATAGGGGAGAAATGGAATGGTTGATTCGATGGAGCTACACTGGAGTCATATACCGCCGTGACATGAGTTTGAAGGACAGCAATTTGATATTTAATGCTTTGGATATAAGTGGTGTAGAGAGCCAGATGGTTTCCCAGTGAGAATCCGTTAGGGCAGTGGTGGCAAACCTATGGCACGGGTGCCAGAGGTAGCACTCAGAGCCCTCTCTGTGGGCACGCGTGCCATCGCCCCAGCCAGGCCCAGACCATCATTAAAGTGTCGAATTCTCTGCCAAATAATTTTAAGTAAATGAAAGCATTTGGGATTGCTTTCCTTACTTTGTTTGGATCATCTTCAGTTAAAGTAGGAGTTGTTTTTTCTAAAGGAAAACCTCAGTATTCGGGTTAAATTGCCGTGTTGGCACTTTGCGATAAATAAGTGGGTTTTGGGTCGCAGTTTGGGCATTCGGTCTCTAAAGGGTTCACCATCACTGCGTTAGGGGGATCCCACAGTCTATTTGCTATTTATTTTGATACAGGAGGCGATTGGAGTCTGCAGCAGAACATAAGATAACATATATCACCCAGATGAGTCCCTTGCGTCGTGAAGTACCTTGTTTTAAAAGATACTCAAATTTGGTTAAGTCTCTTTGTGTGGTCTGCTGAATGGATGGGGTCTCTAAGAAGTGTTTGACTTGTAGGCATTGGAACCATGGAATGGTCAAATCCATATTATGTTCAATTCATGCCTTTTCCAGCACGAGGCTGTGGTGGGAGATATCAGAAAGTTTTGTGTTATTAAGAGTCCTCCATATCTTAAAAGAGGAATGATCCTGTAATGATTCCTTGTTTTATATGTGTGTGTGTCTCTTTAAAAGTTTGGTTGCATGGCTGTGTGATGGACTAGAGTGCTTGAAGAGACAAGTGTGGTTTTAGAAAGTGTTTCTGAGTGGATGAATGGGTATGTCCTTCAGGAGTGACAGTTAGAGGTTTGACAGTTGAAAAAGACAGTTGATAAGTTAGGTCGTTCTGAGGTCTGAGGGAGAGAGACAGTCTTGTGTGTGATACAAGAGTTAAGTTCTGTGTATAAAGAAAAGTTGAATGTATAAGGAAACAAAAGTTAAATGAAAGTCTGAGTGACAGACTGGAGTGAAATAGGAAACGTATATGACCCTGAGTAATGAGTTACAAAGTTACTTGAAAAATCCCTGTCAGAAAGGGAGCAGATCTTGTGTGAGACACAATGAAATTGTAAAAATTATTCACATTACTGGTTACATTGTTCTACACTTTTATTTATGAACTGTTTCAATAAATCTTCCTTTATTTAAGTCTGCCAGCTCTGAAAGAAATAATTTCTCAGGAAACACATAGACCCTCATGAGACTTAAAAACTCGACCTACCTATCCAGTGATAGCCAAAAGAAAGTATAAAGGTTTGGAAAGCCTAAAATTTCCTGGTGGCAGCCTAATCTACCCAGTTGAACAAAATAAAAATAACACTTTAAAATGAAACCAGGCCTCCCCAGATAAGGGGACGTCACAGATCCCTCCCGTATTCGAACCAAATCTGGCCTAGAAATGAAGAAATGGGGGAAATGCCAGGTGCTAATGTCTTTTTCCTCTCATCCCAAATTTTTAGGGTTGCAGACAAGAATTCATTTTGGGAGATTTGAGTTGGACGTGCTTTTGGGGGTTCCATAAGATGTCATATAGGTGAGCCTAGATACGATTTCTCTATAGTTACCCAGTCTATATAATAATTTGGAAATAATAATGTGATTGTGTTGTGTTGATGCATAATATAAGCTAAGGTCTGGGACGTCAAGCCCACCCTTTTTTGAGGGATGTGTCAGCACTAAACAAGAGATTCTGGGGCGTTTGTAATCCCAAAGAAAGTCTGTAAGTAAGTTTTGCCAGCTCTGTTAGTTCTTTGCAGGTTAATGACACGGGGAGCATATGAAATAGAAAAATGAATTGTGGCAAAACTACCGATTTGACTGTACTGAGCATTCAAACCAGGAGAGGTTTTTACTGCTCAGGTCTTTCAAAAAGAAAGTGGTCTTTTGGGATAGTTTGATATAGTTGTGGAATTTCAAATCCCTTAAATGTGTAGGGTTTATAATGCCTAAGTAGTTTAATGATTTCGTTATCCATTTGTAGGGATATAAGGCTTTGATAGAGACAGATAAGGATGAGTTTAGTTTGATGGGGTATATTTCTGATTTCATTTGATTTATTTTTAATCCAGATATACGACCAAAATTATGAAGTGTTGCCTCTAATGCTCTTAAAGAGGAAGTAGGATTTGTAAGGTAGAGGGTCATATCATCGGCAAAGAGACTTATTTTGTAGTCATGGCCATTTATAGTGATGCCTTCAATTGTGGTCTGTTTCCTAATCAATTCAGCTAATGATTTAGTAGAGAGGGCAAAAAGCAAGGGCGACAAAGGGCACCCTTGCTTGGTGCTTCTTAAAAGTCGGAATGGGGGTGGGGTGGGGAGAAACCATTTATTAAGTTTCAGGCTGTGGTGCCAGCACAGAGTAGTTGAGTTGTGTCTAAAAAATGGTTACCAAATCCCTTATGGGCTAACAAGTGGTGTAAATAATCTCCAGTCTATCAAAAGCCTTTTCTGCGTCTAATGCCAATATTATGGCCTCTATTTGGAACTTCCATGAGTGTCGAATAATATTCAAAGTTTTTCTGCATTGTCGACTATATTGTGGTGAGGCATTAAAGCCTGTTTGGTCAGGGTGAACATAGTGGGTTATAAAGGTATTAAGATGGCTGGCTAAGGTGGCTGTAAAAATCATGGCGTCCTGATTAATTAAAGATATTGGCCTATAAGATTTGGGAAGAGTGACATCCTTATTCTTTTTCAGTAATACAATAATATTGGTTTCACACCATGTGAGAGGGAGCCTATTGTGAAACATAGCATAATTACATATAGAGGTAAGAGGTTCTGCTAATAGAAGTAGGAAAGTCTTGTAGAATTCGGCGGGATATCCATCCCCACCAGGAGACTTATTATATTTTTTAATTGTTAATCGTGTTGATGATCTCTTGTTTTGTGATAGGTTGCTCCATCAGGGTTCTGTGTTCTGGAGCTAATTTTTTAAGGGAGGTAATAGATGATTGAAAGGTAGAGATGTTTCCTCTGATGTGTAGAGTTTTTGAAAGTAAGTTGAAAAAGAATTAAGAAATGGCCCATTCCTGATGTTAGGGCTATCTTTATTTAGCTGCTGCTGTGCCATCACCTGGCTTGAAAACTGGCTCTCTTAACTTGTATTTGCCAGTTATTGTTGCACTTGAGAGTGTTTAATGTTTTTGGGAACAAGATGTGGTCAAATTGGGCAAGGGCTATAGCACTGTGGGGGTGGGGTATTAAACCTTTCCCTCCCATCATTTCCCTTACCAAAATCTCCCCTCCCATATAGTATCTGTCTTTCCCTGGCTGTACCTAGTAGAGGGTTCAGAGGCAATTTTGATCTTTTGAGGGGAAGGACTGACTCAAATGTTCGCTGCACTCTTTAGTCACATTAATCTGTTGGCCCGTATCCCCTCAGATTGGGGCCTTGCAATTATTGTTCCAATATACAAGAAAGGAGAAAAAATGAATCCCACCAACTACCAACCAGTTAGTCTCCTTAGTATTGTTAGTAAATTATATTCAAGAAACTCCTTGACTAGGTAGATCGAGAAAACATACTGGTGGACAAACAGGTTTCAGAGCTGGCCGTTCCACCATAGACCAGTGTCTGATTTTGCACCATCTTGCGGAGAAGTACAGCTCTAAGCCAAATGGAGTACCCTATACTGCCTCTGTGGATTTCAAAGCAGCATTTGACAGCATCTGGATCTGAGTGAATTGGCGAACTATCGGCCGGTTTCCAACTTGCCCTGTTTGGGCAAGATAATAGGCTGGGCTGTGGCAACTCAGTTACAGGGCTTTTTGGATGATGCTTCCATCTTAGACCTCTTCCAGTCCAGCTTCTGTCCAGGCCATGGGATGGAGACGGCACTGGTCGCCCTCACAGATGATCTCTGGAGGCATCTGGATCGGGGTGGATTGGCAGTGCTGTTGTTGTTGGACCTGTAGGCAGTGTTCGACATGGTCGACCATCAGCTGCTGATCTACCACTTCGCCGACACTGGAATCCAGGGGACTGCCTTGCCATGGCTCCTCTACTCTCTCCAAGGTCGGGGACAAAGGGTGGCACTGGGGGAACAGCTATCCCGAAGGCACCCACTGGACTGTGGAGTGCCTCAAGGGGTAGTGCTATCCCCGATGCTATTTAACATCTATATGCATCCCCTTGCCCAGATTGCACGGAGACATGGGCTGGGATGTCACCAGTACACAGATGACACCCAGCTCTATCTGTTGTTGGGCAGCCAGTCTGACTCTAAACCGGAAGATCTGGACTGGGGGTTACAAGACGTAGCTGCCTTAGACTGAGCCGACTGAAATTCAATCTGACAAAGACGGCAGTTCTGTGTCTGTGGGCCGAGGGTAGGGATCCCACTTCTTACCTTCGATGGGGCTCCGCTGGTGCCAGCGCTGGAGGTTAGGAGCTTGGGAGTGCTCCTGGATGCCTTCTTAAAAATGGAGGCCCAGATAGCAGGCACTGCCAAGTCAGCCTTTTACCATCTTCGGCTGATCAGGCAGTTGGCTCCCTTCCTTGAATGCAATGACTTGGCAACAATGATCCACATGATGGTCACCTCAGGATTGGACTAGGGGTGTGGCGGCGTTTGAAAGATAATGGCCGCCTGAAACTCCCGCTCCGTGGACCCCATCTTTTCTTACGATCATACTGACAACCACCAGATTGATTTCTCTGCCCAATATATGGAAATGAACAGTGGAGAAAATCCTCAACACAAAGCTACAAAAACCCCACAAAGGTACAAGTTAAAATAGACTCGACATTGGGCCCTTTTCTCCCAGGCCAGTGCCGCATAATTGCTGCTAAAATGGCGCCGACTGTACCAGGAGCGGGAAAAGACACCACTCCAGTAACAACAACAGAACTTTCAGCGGCCCTAAATAAAGAGTGAAAAAACATTATCGGATAGCATATAAAACATGCTGAAACCTCTGTACGATCAATTGGAAACAATGCAGAAGAATATGTCAGAAACTCGCGCTATCACTGACATCGCAATGAATAACAGTCTGTTAAACCAAAATGCCATAGAAGACATACACCATGGGGAGGATGTTTTAGCGGAACAGGCTCTGAAACTTGATCTATGAGACAGAATAATTTAAAGGGCCGTGGTCTAGATGAGAAAGTGGAAGATCCTTCCTATTTTTCTGTCAAAATGGCTGTCTCAAGAAATATCACTTGAGGGATATCATGCCAATCGTGATGAAAGCATACAGATTGGGCTCCTTAAGTGCACTTAAAAACAGATCATCCAGAGATATCCTGATGACAGTACTAGATGTAAGATTCAAACAACTGATCATCCAGAAAATGAGGTAACGGAGCCATCTTATCTACAAAGGGGGAAAGATTGAGATATATCAAGATCTACCTCCAGAGGCTCTGGAGTAACGTCGGGAGTTGAAGCCCATTACAGCATGCCTAATAGAAGCCAACCGTAGGTATAAATGGGTTTCGCCCTTTATCCTGCAGCTCACACATTTGGGAAAGAACTATCGTGTCACCTCATTAGAAGAAGGGAAGTCTCTGCTTCGCACGTTAAACCTCGAAGTGCCTATGGACCTTACTTTGAAATCGCAAAAGAGAAGGCTGGAATCCCCATCGCCGCCACCATCAGACCTCAACAACCAAGTTCGCTCCTGTACTATGAAGACGTTTCTGCAGGTTTTCAGCGATTTAATTTTCACAGAAGGTTCCTGTAATGTCTATGCCACTATTATTGCCTGGTGTTACTAATACTGTTTTGTATTTATAAGTTAGGAAATATAAACAGTGAAAGCTGTGGGTACAAAATTAAGTGTAGTTTATGAAAGTTGTAAGGAAAAGTAAAGTTTTACCACTTATGAAGTTGGGTCTTATTAATTGCTTCCAACACGGTCTTGTTTGTATAGGAATAGATCAGCTTAGTTATGTAGGCTGTTTTTATTTAGATAAGTAAGAACTTTAGCATCTTGAATATAAGTCCAAGAGCTGCAACCTATTCAACTGCTTTATATGATCTGTAGCTGTAGATCACTGTCACTGTGAATTATTATTACTGGAGACTCATTAGTAATAAAAATAAGGTAGGTTGACTTTCTTGCATATGTTGTTGCTTTAAAGAGGAGGAGGGAGTCCTGGTGGAGTGAATAGTTTTTAGCTCCACTCACTTAGTGTGTTCTCTTAGACAGTTGCTGGGTCTCAGAAACCCAGCCCCCTGTAGCTTATCAGATAGCTGCAGGAGTAGGGGGAACTTTTACACCATCTTTTATTTTTAAATAAATAAATATAAAATAAATAAAAGGGGAATATATATATTTAGATCAATTAAAATCTATATTAAAACTAATTGAAATATTTTTAAGCAATTTCATTAAATTTATTACTGCAATTTAGTTTTTGAAAAAATACATAATCTGCATAGCTATTATTAATTTAATTTTAACTGATTAATTAACTATATGATCACTCAAACAGTTTATTAATTTACTTGTTGATTTGTTGTTAGAAAGGAGAGATTTTAAACAAGGTGAAGAGGGTTTAGTGGTATTGAATAAACT